GATCTTCTCTTAGGCAAAATCAGTATGTCATGTGACATAAAGAGCATGCTGTCATCTGAATTTGAAATGTTCTGTGGAAGCAATCAGGGAGTGCTGATTCATAACTCTCACCTCCGTGCAGCCCTTCAGCAACCTTGTCAGGTCTCCAGAGCCCATTTTCCCACATTGGAGGGGGGCCGGGGCTGGGCGTCTTGGGCCCAGAGACTCAGTTGAGGACCCAGAGCGGCTGGAGTCAGGCTCAGAACCCAGGTGCAGAACTTAGACCCAGCCGTTCCCCTTTCTGAGTGTAGTCAGAGGTCTCCTGCTTGCGCCACTAGCACTTAGCACACATATGAGCACATTTTCTGGCCTCAAGGCTGCTTTGTGTCAAAAGCTCTTACAGGCGCCTTTCATCGGTCCCACGGTCACTGAGCCCCTGACTTTCATCCCACTCGAGAGACCCCTGGCTTCCACCGCATTGGTATCGGGCAGGGAATAAAAACGGGCACCGTGGTGAGGAGCCTGGACTTTGGAGTCAGACAGTCATTCATCCAAGTTGACTCTGCTGTTGCTAGCGGTGCGACCTTGCGCGGGTCCTTGGGTGCCCTGAGCCTCGAAGACAAGGACCCCCACTGGAATGGTGGGAGGCTGCAACAAGATAAGGTTAGCTTGGCACCCCGTATGTAGCAAAAGCTTGGTAATTGGTAGCTGGTGCCGCTGGGAATGTTAGATTTCACTGTTATTGCCAACGTTTCCTATGTTGTGGCACCCAGTTCCCTCCCTCCCTAGCCCTGCAGAAGGAGGCAGATCAGGACTATAAGACACTAATCCACTGACCTGTCAAACCCCTGCTGCGTTTTAGCAGGTGGTCTGGGCATCTGTTCCTCCCTCTGCCTCCTCCCTGGCTCCCCGTCCCCGATGAGGGGACCTGATTTGTTCTCCACCTGCCGTGTTTACTGCCTAGCATCTGAGCAGAGGGCTTTCTGTTGCAAGGGTGTGAGCCTAACATTTTTAACACTGAACACTTAACACTGAACACCTAACATTTTTAACACTGAAATCACATATGACCAGGTTGTAAAGCAAAGCTCTAAAGTTAGTTTTCAGAGAGAAATTTCTAGATAACAGCTTCAAAAGCAACCAGTATATCCCCCTGCACAGTATCCCTTTGAAGCATGGGCAGGTTGGCTTCCAAAGCGACCAATCCAATGTCCTCATCCTTCCAGACGGAAAGGGTTTGAACCGCTTCCTGGAGGGAGTGTGGCTCCTCACTCCATCTCCCCTTTGCCCCAGGAACAGATGGTTTTAGATCATATCAGCATCCTAAGAGCATAGGTTCTTAAAGTTTGCTCATCCAGTGTGAGCAAATGTATTATTTTTCTTTTTAGAGAAGATACCAGCCACGCAGAATCTGGGCTGCTTTTTCGTGTGTGTTTTGTCAATACAATTATGGCATTGAAATTTGCATTAACTTAACAGAAGCAAAAGCAAATGGAAACAGAAAGAATTATTGAAATTCAGATTCTTCTTACTGCAAGAGGAGTTTTTAAAAATATCGCATCGGTTTAGTAAATTGTGAAAACAATATTACGAGGTCAGAGTTGCTATGTTTCAACTGTGTTTGCCATGTTCAAACTGTGTGTTTGCACCAAAGATGGATTTGAATGGAAGTTGAAAATGAGGCCGGGGGTGGACCCACACTGCCTGCCCTCTTCTGGCTTTTGTTAGCCTAGCTAAGGGCTTTGGCAGAGAACATTGCTTTCCGGCCCATAACCCAAGTGTGCACAATTGTCCTGTATTTATTCGGTCTCTAAGTGGCTTCTGCATTTACTGTTAGACATTTTACCACAGCTTCTCCAAGTCTATGCTCTTTATTCTGACTTTACCCTTCATTGTTTGGATTTTGTTCTGGGAGCTTTTTTCCGGAGAAGGGCTCAGGGTTGCTGGATTCCCTGAGTTTCTTCCCGTTAGAATCGGTGCCCTGTTATTTGTAAGTCTGGGCTACTTGACCGGATACACGAAGTCGGACAGACCCAGTGTCGGGGGTGGCTGCTTTCTGCTCTCTGAGTCATTCTTCTGGGGGGACGAGATGTGTCCTGGGGATGGAGATCAGTTACTTTTCAGACATCTGGCTGTCCAGGGCCCTGCACCCTACTGTCCCTCCCATTACTGCAGGGAATTTATTTTTTTGCAGGAGTCAGGGAAGGGATTTAAACATAAATGTAAATGTATCATTTGTTCCTAATTATTAAACTGGAAACATGCTTATGAAAAAAAAAGAAGTAAAACGACAGAGAAAAAGAAAGTTCTCACCGTGCGACCCCCAGAGAGAACACTGTTAATAGGTTGGTGACTATTTTTCCAAACTTTTCGTGTGGGTATCTGCACAGAAACTCATTTTTTTAAATCGGATTTATTGTACGTGTACATTCTTCGACGGGCTCATTTTGGCTAAAATGTGTATCCCGCTACTTATTCTAAGTAAGCGCACAAGATCTACCTGGTTTTCCATGAGGGCCTCTTGCGCATTTAACCCACTCTTCTTATTGCACATCTGGAACATTCTTGATTATCAGTGATCCCTGATCTGTATATATTGACGGAAGGATAACTTTTCAGACGGACTTAGTCAAAGAGCGTATATACCGTTCATTTCTAGTCGGTCGTTTGTCCTCACTGCCTCCCAGATGCATCTCCAGAGGCATCCCCTGTCTCCTCCCTTTTGCTGCCCCCTCCACATTGTCCCTCCGCAAAGCCCTGCTGTGACCCCTCCCTGCTCCCTACCCTCCCTCCCTCTGGTGCACACTCTCCTCCAGCCATGGCTGCCTCCTGGCCTTTGCCTCTGCTGTTCCCCCTGCCCGACTTGCCGGGGTTCCAGACACTCACTGCATGGTGGTTCATCAGCCAACCTTCTCTGACCAGCTTTCAGCAGGGCTCCTCAGCTCGCTCACCCTCTGTGCCATTATCCAGGCTGGCTCTTTCCCTCACCATCCTGGCCACAGCAGAAATGCCCCTGTTTCTTTTTTTTTATACCCCAGTTTTCTGAGGCTTTGCCATCTTACTGCCCACCGTTACCCCAGCCCTTAGCGTGCCTGCGTGCCTGAATGAGTTAGTGGTGGTGGCCGTCACCTCCTCCCCACCTCCCCCAGTGGTTGGACCATGACGGACTGCAAAGGAAAAGGGAGTCCCCAAACCCAAGCAGTTTTGAAATCCCAACTGGGCAAACTCCATTGGGTTTCAAAGCCTCAGAATAATTCTCTGTGGCTCAGGGCTCCACCCTCTGGTGGGGTGGGAGGGCCTCTGGGCCCGAGGTGCCACCCCCCTCCCGCCCCCGGAGCCATCCTTTTCTCTCGTGGAGGGTGGCATGTGTTCAAAGCCAAGGAGCACCATGCTTCCTGAGTGTAGAATTTGGGGAGGATGACAGCCTTCTTTTATTTTGTCCTTCCTGTCTCTCTTCCGGTGCCAGTGGGCAGTGTTTCCGTGGGTATGACATCCTCAAACACCATACGGTGTCCTATGTACACCTCATCGATTCCCTCCATTAGACAAGAGGATCCTTCACAGATCTGTGCTGGATAATCTTCTTTCTGTGCCTGGTGTTTGCTGGGATGTCGAAGATGATCCATGAGTCCCAGATCTAGTGTCTTCAGAGAACCCTCCATGTGATTGACCTTGGATCCTCTTAAGTACTAGCAAAAGGTTGTCTAGCCATGCCTCGGGGTTCCTTCCAGAGCACGCTCTTCTGAGTGCTCATCTTAGCATCTTTTGCCACTGGGACAGGCTCAGAGTCTCCCACATCATCAAATCTCTGTTCCAAGTTCCACTTACACAGAACCGTAGGCACAGCCCAGCTAGTAAGCTCCTGCCACTACATCACAGGACCCCCCCCTCTAGTTTCCATAACATGTCCCTTGTTTCCTAAGCCCCCACAGGCCAACAGCTTTGGTATCCATATTTCTACCATCAGGTCTTTTTAGGATGATTTATCTAGAATAATCGAAGTATTTTAGTGCCTCTCCCCTCTTTGTGAGCTGTCACTGGCTCACAGGGTCCAGGGGTTAGAACTTGGACAGCATGGCAACTGTGAAAGTTACTGGTCAACCGCCAACACCAAGCAAGCAATATTGGTTCCTTCTCATTTTCTCAGAGCTGTGTTAGGCAGCACAAGCTATGGGGGAATATAGCCAGGTGGACGAAACACACTGGTTTGCCCAGATGGTCCAGTTGGCATTTTCTTGTCCCAGGGTAAACGGTCTAGTGCCCTTTCTCCCTTTCAAAAGTGTTCTGTCTTTGGTGATCAATTTTCTGGCCACCCTACGTGTAGATCTTAATGCTTGTCCTTCAGATTGTAAATCTGCTATTGCATGGGGATGAAACACAGATTGACAAAAAATTATCAAGCAGCGATGGTTAAGTGCTAAATCTTATGACATCTTAGGTGCTTCTAAACATCCTTTGAGATATAGGACAGCCCCTCTGCCCCACAACTGTCTTCTAGAATTCTAGACAGTTGTCTAGAATTTCAGAGGCATTTGAAGGCCTTTGGGATTTCATATTCAGAGTGTAGTCCCCGGACCAGCAACATTACCATCATCTTGTTAGAAGTGCACATTGTCAGGCCTCGTCCAGGAACCCTGAATCAGAAACTCTGGGCAGTGTGGGACCCCACAGTCTGTTTAAATGAGTCCCCAAACGAAAACATCTGTAATGCACAGACACATACACACACACACACACACACACACACACACACACATGGATGCACACTCTTAGTGACATCCCAAGCGTGTGGCCACAATTCATATCCTAAATACCGCTCTGCTAGAGAGTTGTTCCTTTGTCCCTGTCTTTGTCTTCTCGTCTTCAAAGCAATGACAAGCCCATGTGTCGAGAGTCGAGCTGATCTTGGTAAATGTTCGTTTGCTGGGAATCATTCCTGGGTTCTAATGATCTATTTTCAGAGGAGTTTTTCTCAAAGTAACATATTTCATTTTTTTGCCTCTCTCCCTGACTTTTGGCAGGAGCTGAGAAAAAGCCTGGAACTTAGTGTAAATCTGCAGAGGAAACAAAGAGATGGTTCTAGCGACGAGTATGACTCTATCGAAGAAGAGGTGCTCTCTGAGCCCGAGCCCGAGGAGCCAGTGCTCCCGGGCCATGGCAGAGAGGACCCCCATCTTTCCAGCGGAAACTCCGTGCAGAAGGCTGTGCCCGAGGACCAGGGACCAGAAGGACGCCCTTCCCAGGGCCCAGACCCCCTCGTGGTGCTGGAATTCAACCCAGCTTCCAAGAGTGAGTTCCATCTTACGTGAGCACATCTTTGCCTTCGGTGTGTTTAGGTCTGATAGTAGGACTTGAATTTCCAGCCATGTTTGGGGTTCAGCTTTGGGGAGACTGTCCCACAGGCCAGTCAGGACTCTGCTGATTGTGACAAGCCAAGGCTTCCAAAGGCCTCCAGATGACCCTGAGATTCCAGATGGCAGATGTCTGGCAGATGGTTTTGGGGGCTGTCCTGTGTCTTGTAGGACATGTAGTAGGATCTCCCTGCCAGCCGGTTAATACATTCTGTCTGAAACCAAAGGGACTATATTGGCTTGACTAACTGAGGAGTCCAGAACCGTCAAGGACTCTCCCCTCCCCCTCTTCCCCCTTCCTTACTTCTTCCCTTCTTCTGTCTCATCTCTGCCTTCCTTTGTCTTGGTACCATTCACAGCTGGGCTCTCCACATACAGACACAGAATTGAGACACTGGCTTTATGCCTCCATCAGAAAGTGGATTCGTCTTCCTCAAAGCTCCAGGCTGCGTGCTCCTCTGTGCCCCTGGTACTAGAAACTTCTTCCATCCCAGCCCTCCCCTCTTATCCCTTCCGCCATCTTTTCCTCGGCTAGGCTGTGAGCATCTCGGGGGCAGCAAATGCATTTTACCCTGCTCTTTCCACCCTGGGATGTCTTGGTGGCACCATTATTTTATGTATCACTCTGCCAATTAAATCGACCTCGACGATTGCCAGACTCGTCCCTACTCGGAAATGTTAACATCCAAAAACCTGTATCATAGACTGTTTTCATTCGTTTGTCCAAATGTGCTGCATTATTCACATCTCTGATCCCGAATTAGCACGGTACCTGACACAAGCAGGGGTTCAACCAATATTTGTTAAATGACTATATGAACGAACCAGCAGATGCCTGAGTGGCATGCCCCAACTTTGCTGGCATTCTGTGTCTGACATCTAAACCCTTGTCTCCCTACAGGTAATAAAAAGGAAAGGAATTTGTCGGCTAAGCGGAAGGACAATGCTGAGGTTTTCATTCCCACCAGACCCGAAATGAACTTGAACCCTCAGCCCTCTGCTGTGTTCCCAGACCAGGAGAAGGCATGCTCAAGTAAGAGTTCTGGCAGCCCCAGAGCAGGGCTGGGGCTGGGGCTGGGGCTGGGGCTGGGTCCCCCTCAGTGCGATACCTGCTGGGGGAGTCCTTACTGTGTGACGCTCTTCATCAAGGCACGAGCTCACCTTTCACAAATGTATTGTTAGTCAAGGTCTCCAGAGAAACAGAACCAATAGAGTGTGTGTGCGCATGCGCGCGTGTGTGTAATTCCAATCTGCGGGTTGGATCAGCCGGTTGGAGACCCAGAAAGAGCCAGTGTTCCAGTACAAAGCCCATATGCACTAGCAGGGCCAATGTTGCAGAGGAAGTCCAGAGGTAGTCTTCTGGAGAATTCTCTTATTTGAGAGCGGGTCAGTTTTTTTGTTCTGTCCTAGCCTTCAACTGATTAGATGAGACCCCACACACACACATTATGGAGGGTAATCTGCTTTATTCTCCAATGCAAATGTTAATCTCATCTGAAAACACCTTTTGGAAACACCCAAAATCATGTTTGACCAAGCATCTGGGCTCCCTGAGGTCCATCAAAGGGACACATGACATCACCCATCCCAGCGCCTTTCTCGTTCTGCGACCAAGAGGTGGTTTTAATTGAAAACTTATTTTAGTTTTGGTTTTACTTTCTCATTTTGTTTTTACTCTTAATCTGTTTATATGGATAATGATGCATGCAAATGGTACTGAATTCTGAAAGTACAAGAGTTCACGGTGCAGTCGGTCCGCCACTCTTCTGATGAAACGAGAGGTTGCATTGGTCGAGTGCTTGGTGCGAGCCAGCCCCTGCTGTCAGCTTTTAGTCCTGTCACTTGTAAGTAAATGGTCATCCTTACACATAGCCTTCGAGGTAGGTCCAGGGATTGTCCCCATTTCACAGATGAGTTGCTGAGGCCCAGAGCAGGGGATTTACATGCTGGAAAGTGGCTGACCTAGGCCCCAAACCCTGGTGGAGAGACTCCACGCTGTGTCCCAATCAGCACTGGAAGCCCTCAGTAAATCATTGCAGCCTGAGGCCCTGGGTCCCATCCAGGGGCAGAGTGCGTCCCGGGAAGCCGCTTGCTTCTGGGTTTTACCACCTGAAACAAAGCACCTCACAGAGTTCAAGGCATCCTGGTATTCCAAGCATTTGGAAGCCTGGGGTGTCCTGGGCAGAAATCCAGCCCCAGCCAGCCTGCCTTTGTTAGACAAGCAGTCTGGCTGAGCCAGGGGCCCTGACCTCTGTGGCTGGCATTCCACCCACGTCTCCTGGGAGCTGGAGGGACTGAGGCCTGGGCTTGGGGCAGGTGGAAGGAGAAGGAGGAGTAGCAGAACAGCCAGCATTTACCGAGCATCAGCTCTAGCTCTGTAAACGTTGTCTCTGGACTCCCCCAGCCGCCAGCTCTGAGGTAAGGATTTGAGAACAGGTCCTCTATTTAGAAGTCGGTCCCTGGTTAGGGGGGCAGCAAAGGGAAGGAGCCCAAACTGGCTTTATCACCAAGCAAGTTCACTGGGCAAGTGGAGTACCCTCCTGGCTGGGGAGTTTGGGGGGCACAGCTGAACATAAGCCCCCGTGTGGGACCACTGCTCCCCACCCTAGGCCAAGGGAACTAGGCTCTTACACAGCCCTCCCAGGGCCAGTGGAGCCCAGAGCCAGAGTTGCAGGCTGAGGTCTAGCTGAAAGACTGTGGGCAGGACACCACCCCAGCATTATCTGATCAATTCTCATCACAACCCAAACTCCAACTGAAGGAAAAGACCCATGAATATGAGACAAGGCATTTTGGGTAGCAAGTAATTTTATTTTTCTTAGGGGTGATGGGAGGGCCCTCCACGGCCCTGGGCTTGCAGCCCAGCAGCCCAGCAGCCCTGGCAGAAAGCAAGCCTGCGCACCTGCTTTAAGTCCTGCCCGTGCACCTAGTAGCTCTGTGACCTCAGGCAGTTTGGTTAACCTCTCTGGGCCTCCGTTATCCATCTACCCAGCAGGGATAAGAATGATACTCTCATCTGGGGGTTGCTATAAGGCTAAAAGGGCTGGAGAGAGGATCACCTGGCTCAGAGCAGCTGCTTGGTGGAGTCAGCTGGCACCGTTCACACAAATGCCAGCCAAGCCTCAGAGCTGCTGTCATCCCCAGCTTAAGTCAGGGGCACTTCCGGGAGGGAGATACGGGTGCTGTCACCAGAGGCAGATGGAGTGGGTGCCGGGCAGCAAACTCCAGGAGATCCCTGTGGATGCTGCTGCCCCCTTCTCCCATTTCACAGATGAGGAAACTGAGGTTGAAGACCTGGAAGTGACTTGCCAAGAGTAATAGGCAGGACGGGAAATTGGGGGAGCCATTGGGGCCGGCCGTGAGCATCCTGGGGATATGGCTGGCCCACAGGCAAGGCCAGCCAGGGAAGCTGGGTGCTGGGGCCTAGGCCTGGGGCTGCAGTCATGGCATCCTCCCATCTAGCCCAGTCAAGTCCTGGATGCATTTCCAGGCAAGGCAGCAGGTCATTTGCTGTCTTCTTCGACCTCACCAGCAACCTGTGTATGGAGCATCTACCCTGTGCCAGCCCTGGTCCAGGCCCTGGTGATCCAGGGAGCAACACACTGTTCCTGCTGTCTTGGTGTTTATATTTCAGTGGGCAGAGATAGACAACAAACATGAAGATGGGGTGGTGACAGCCACCACCAAGACATCAACTGGGTGATGGCTGGGCAGCGTGCTTAGAGGAGGCCTCTCTGAGGAGGGGAGACATGAGCTGAGACATGGTGAGGTAAAGAACTAGCCTTTTGCAGAGGGGGAAGACTGTGCAAAGGCCTTGGGGTAGGAAAGAGTTGCTCAGTTAGCTCAAGAATCAGAAAGAAAGCTGGAGGCCAGAGCATAGCCGCTGAGGGGAGGGCAGCTGAGATGGAGTCACAGGTGAGCAGGGGCTTTTATGAGCTGCTTTACATTTGAACAAGGTCCCTCTGGCTGCCACATGGAGTGTGGCCTGTTGGGAGTTGTGGTGGCTGTGGGATGACCAGGGAAGAGCCTATTGCAGGATGCAAAAGGTGGTGACTCGGTCTCTGAGTCTTACCAGTAGCTGGATTCCTGATAGCAGTCCAGCTTGTGATGAGACTAGTTGTGATTTACCCTGAACAGCCAGGTTAAGAAGCTGGGCAGTGGGGAACCTGCCATGATAGGGCAGGGAGAGCCGAGACTCAGCAGTGAAAGGGGATCCCTAACTTGTCGTTTGTCTGGTATAGGTTCTGGGACTGTGCCACTAGCAAAGGAGACTCAAGCAAGCCAGGTGCCTAGAGCTGGGTTCTATGTCTGGACAGGTCATGTTTGGTGCTAAGCCCGCTGCAGGAAGAGTGGGGTCTGATCTCTGTCCTGCCTCAGCGGGGAGTGACCTGGACATGCAGCCAGACCAAGCCTGTGGGTGGTGGAGTTGTCCGCATCCCACCAACACGAAAAGCCAAAATCCAGTAGTAGAGCTAGGACCAAACTTGTTCCTGGGACTTGTTGGCAAGAGCCAGAGCCTGGAAAGTCACCAGCATGGAGCCTGAGGAAGGTAGACGTAGGAAGGGAATTGCTGTGGAAGTGGTATGTTGACAAGGGCATGTCAAAGTCAAAGCAGCGATAGGCTTCAAGATGTCCTGTGTGCAATTAGATAATCTTAGATATCGTCTATACAGGTGAAGAGTAAGATACATGGTGTCAGAAAAACCTGGTGAATTTTGGATCTATCTGCTTTGGTCGGAAGAAGCCAGAAGAAGAGAGAGAGAAGGGACAAGGGGACAAGGTGAAGGGCGGGTCAGCTCTCAGAGCCCCAACAGCAAGTGGACAGTGTGGGTAGCAATCCCAGGTGGTAGTGGTTCTTTGACATCCAAACTAGCTCCACTGACCACTACTTCAGTGGCCAAGACTCCAGTCTATACTGCTGGTGTCGAACTCTTCGTGAAAAAATTAGAAAGGGTTTCCAGAAAGTTCCTCCAGAATGAGTTGCTGAAAGAAATGAAACCCAGAGTAGTGTGCTACCGTGCAGGAAGCCTTCCTGAGCCCCTGGTAGAGTGGGAGCAGGACCCTGCTGATCAAGCAACTTTCCCACCCATCCTACTGGGATCACCAGACTTCCCTCCTTAATGTGCATGCCACGGTCACAAGAGTTTCCGTGACTGGGTAATAAAATGAAGAGCCAGCACTTACAAAGCACTGACCCAAAAAAGCTATGTTTTATACCACACACGTAATCTTGCATTTAACCGTCTAAACTGCTCCGTGAACTAGACACCGCTATTAGCAACAACTGTTATACAGAGGAAACCAAGGCACAGAGAAGTTGAGGAATTTGCCCTAAGTCACACAGCCAGTGAGTGATGAAATCGGTGTTTGAAAACCTGACTGCAGGGGTGCCTGGGTGGCTCAGTTGATTAAGCATCTGTCTTTGGCTCAGGTTGTGATCCTGGGGTCCTGGGATCAAACCCTGCGTCAGGCTCCCTGCTCAGCAGGGAGCCTGCTTCTATCTCTCCCTCTGCCTGCCTCTCTGCCTGCTTGTGCTCTCTCTCTCTTCCTCTAATTAATTAATTAATTAATTAAAAAGAAAGAGAGAAAACCTGACCATAGAGTCTGTTTTCTTAACTACTCCACTGCGTGAGTGGTCCCTCCTGTGCCAACTAAAATGCTCTTTTCTTACTACATATCCACATCAGCCCAGTCCTAACTGAAAACGTGCCTAAAAGTCAGAGTTGAGTCACTTGTGATATTTTTTCTAATGTTCTTTGATGTAAATGTATAACTGTTAGTATTTTATTTTTTTTAAGAGTTTATTTAAATCTTTATTAAAGAGAGAGCGAGCGAGCACAAGGGCATACACAAGCAGGGGGAGAGGCAGGTGGATGGAGAAGCAGGCTCCCCACTGAGCAAGGAAGCCCCATGCAGGACTTGATCCTGCATGCAGGACCCTGGCGTCACAACCTGAGCTGAAGGCAGCCACTTAAATGACAGATTCACCCAGGCGTCCCAACTGTTAATATTTTAAAAACCATGTAGCAACTA